GAGGTCGATTGGTTGGAATAGAAACATGGATTCCTCTTCCGGTTAATGGATATGCACATTATAATTTAGTTGGTCGTTTGATTGGTCCTCGCGGATCGAATATTTCGCGACTGGAACTGGCATCCGGCTGCAAAATTGAAATTATAAATAACTGCTCGAATGAGAAGAAAGAAAATACCGTCGTATGTGGTGAAGTAGACAACAAATCAGATGAAAAAAGTCACGGGTATTTCGGATATTACGTCCGTATTCGTTGCCAAGATTTTCAAAACAGGGCCAAAATTAAAGTTCGTTACGCAGCGGAAGAAATCGAGAAGCTTCTCGTATGGATCCCTGATGGAATGGATTATTTCAAGCGAGAACAACTAATGCAGCTGGCGGTGATTAACGGAACATATAAAGAGTCGACAGGCGGGAAATGGAAATGCAAGAACATGCAAAAAGAGTCGACAGGCGAGAAATGCAAGAAAATTTGAAAAGTATCTTGGATGAACGTTTCGAGCCGTCGGATTGGCTCGTCTGTTTGATTTATGTTTTGTTGCACCAAGTGCTTTAAACTTTCGTTCATTGGCGTTTTTTCTTTGTTAATATTAAAGCTTTATATAAACATTACTAGAAGCTTAATGCTTTGAATATCTAAACTGCGAACTATGGACTAAAGTGCTATGCGCTTACAGCAATGAAAATCCTTAAGGTTGATCGACTAAACGCGGAATGGACGCTAAACAAGTGTATCAGTGATTCTTGTCCCAATTCAGCACTTATTCTGAAAGAATCTAAAACGCTCCATTTCAGTTCCTCAATCTTATTTGTGATGGAACTGAAATTAGTAACTCAGATTGCATGCAGAACGATGGTAAAGTAGCTTCAGAACAGCGATGCCTACTCGAAAGGAGGTACTCCACTAAGAATGAATCAGACTAATTGAGTTTTGGCCTTGACAATTGAAATGCGATTTGGTCAGTAAAAAACTGATTCTTTGATCACGGTTATTAGTATATAATCTGAAACCAAATCAGGCACAACGTAATTAAAAACGTTTCACTGTCGAAGACTTCGATGAGCGCAGCTGTGGAGCATCAGCAAAATTTACGTTCCATAGAGAAGCGGAGTAATTGGATTGCGTGTAACGGTGCCGAACGATTTGGTTTTTCCATGGGTTACACCACATGATGGTTATCACACTGGACAGTCAGTTGGATTAAGGCAAACTGCGTTCCTAAGAGACGCTTGTATCAGAAAGAATGGCAGCATATGTGGCCCACTCTGGCTTGAGCTCATCGTCGAAATGACCTGCCATCCACTTCTCGGTTGGTTGAATCGAAGCAAGGTTCGATGAATTCCTTGCTTAATGGAACTGACGTTTAAGACAAAGTCTCTCATTTTTCACGAGTCAACCCATCGCCGCCAAAGGTCGAAGTGAGACAATTTTTCACGCTGCCACCATGCCCATTTTCCGATACGAAAAGTCCCCAGTCATGTGAATCAGTGACATTAAAGAGTTCACACCAGGCCAATTAGATCCCATCCTTAAAGAAAGCTGCTGTCTACGTTAATGGGGCAAAACACAATGAGGTCATCAGCCATGTATATCTCAGTCATCCGGTAAAGCGAAGGAACTCGCTCTGCAGCAGAGAATAAGCAGAAGAAGGAAGGCGACATGAATCACTAGCTCTAACCGCATTAAACATCGTAGCTTGACGGTGAACTACCAATGCATATGGGAAAAGATCTGTTTGACTCCATCGTGCCGTTTGCCACGTTTCTCAGCCTTAAATGTTGACCCAGTGCTAAACATAAGAAAAACACATTAGTGGTCAATCAAAGAGCGATCTAGCGAAGGAGGGGGGAGGCAGTATCTGGCTTGGCTTCATGCTGCACAACCCAGGAGATCTTCTCGCATTGTTCCTTAACGTTGCTCTGGGCGAGGCCTTGTTTTCTTCCAGGGTGCTGTGCTATTACCTGTTACTCACGCTCGTGGCGATCATCCATCTTCTCCAGCATGACAGGCCGGTCCTTGTTTTTTGCTGTTCCCTGTTTCTCCTGAGTAATAGTTTCTGCAGTTACGCTGTAATTTGTAAACCCAGCCTAGAGAGTTATTATTCTTAGAATTAATTAATAAGAAATCTTCTTTATTTAATGCATTGCTACAAAGTTTCAGGGCCGTCTTTTAAAGCTGTAACCACAGAACGCTTATTCTTTAAATGATTACGTAATTTATTCTTTAGATGTTTATCGGTGTGAGTAAGATTACGATAAACTTTAGTTTTATAGCAATTATCGGAGTGCATTATTTAGGTCTGAAGAAATGGTCGTCTGGAGTTGTTTTATCTTTCAATAGTTAACTTGATATTTTGAAAGAATAGGCAATGGAGGTGGTTTAGTAACCTGTTTTCGGCGCCGTTAAAACAGACGGCGAAAATATCATTTTAACCATTGGAAAAAGTTTCTTGAACCACATTTTTAAAGTACTATATGAAAATTTCGGCAAGAACGGGCAAAGTGGTTTACCTATAGTTGTTCCTATGGTTGGTTTGAAGAAACTAACATCGAAAGAGAAATAACGCGCTTCTACAATAGAGAAAGTTATTGGCTTTAGGATTGAGCTAACAGAGAGGGTACGTTGTTAAAATGAGTCATCCCCTCGAAAAGTTTACCAATTTTTTTCATACAAAAGTTAACAGGAATGTTAATAAACGAATCTATAACGGTGCAACCGATCATAATGCCACCTTCAGAGGGTTTATCCGAATCAGTTCTTTGCAAAACTCGTGGGAAGTTCTGAAATAAGCAGGGCTACTTTCAGTTGAGCTTCCAAGAATTTTTGCGGTCAATTTCGAAATCTCTACGAATAAAAGCAGTTCGTCTCGTTGCCCCATCGTCCAAAAACTATTTAACCTACAGAACTGACCGAAAACTTGACCTATGGCTCGAATGCTACCGACTGCTACGGACGACTAACCACATTCACGAAGCTTACCACCAACCTACCTTGAGGAAGACGCGAGAAACACGGGTCAAAACGTCGGTATTGGTCATTCACTTGAGTGACCACAATATCTTATGCGTTGTGGATAAGTAAACCGTGTTTTACGCATTTTTTCAGTCTACGGCCATGCCGCAAACGTTCTGCTTTTCTCTCTCAGAATGGTACTAATTTATCGCGCTTGGAAGGAAATAGGACGAGGACGCCAGCTGGGGTTGAATCAGGACCTGTCGGTTTGAACTCGACGCCCTACCGATTGAGCAAACCTAGTCTGAAGCAGTGAGTAATAATTTCAATGAAATTAATTTTTTGCTGAAAGAATTTCATTAATAAGACAAAGACGGAAGATCGCATTCAAACGGAATCGAACTCCCCACCTCCGGTATTCAAGCAGACAACTGCAAAAAATTATACAAATATGCCAACGCGCCAATTTCGAAAAAATGCAAACTTCAAATTAAACAAAGCCACAAAGCACTCAACAACGTGGTGGCTGCGTCGAAAATTAACGTAAATGTCAGAAAGTCTAAATTCAGGAGAAGCAGCGTTGTCCTTTCGATTTTGGCTAAGTCAAGTCGATGTAGTCAACAGGTTGAATGTCAGTTTTCTCACCTTGCTTTCGTTTGCAGATCAAAGTTCTCTCGAACATAAGAGAATTTTACTTGCAGCCATGAGCTTCCTTACTTTTTCGAACGTCGGTGTGACACCTTGGACATGTGAGTTGAGGTTGGCTCCGGACAGCTTCGGAAATGCAGCTGAAATTAGACATTGGTCGCAAAGTCAAAGGTTCAGAACAAGGTTTGTTTTGAAAACGTTTAGACATGTCGTTAGGGTACGATATTTAACTAGAGTGACAAACTGGTTGGAAAATATGTTTTTCAGATACGGGGGGTGGGCATTGTCAACGAATCGATGATCATAGCCTTGCAAAGAGGATACAGAAAGCATAGCGTGGTGGCCAAAAGGAACACCTCAAACAAGATGGGATTTCGTTGGATCTGACACAGCATCAGCATGACTGAAGCCTGAGCACGAAGTCAGTCCATTCAGTGGAATGGATGCACGTCACCCGGCGTTGTGCCCGATACAATTGGCGAAGAAAAAGAAGAGGAAGCGGAAAAAGTTAAGATGTGAATTAACACGAATTTGAAGGATTCAAAAAATTAATGGGTGATTCAAGAACTGAAGCTTTATGTTGCTCGACGACTATACACTACCCTACTATTTTTAGGCTGTATTTGCGTGATGAAGTTGGAATATATTTTCCCCTTTAATATGCTCACAAGGAAGTTTGGCTTTTAGAATGTTAAGCGCTATGCGTAATTATCCATTTTCCCGTTTCTACCTTAAGGCCCTGCTTTCCCTTAACCTTTTAACCCCAATGATTTTGAGACAAACTTGTTATCATGAGAGACATGGACTTCAATAAATTCACTCGATGTGAATTACAACTAAAACCTACTTGCATGGATAGAATATAGATAATTAAATCCCGGGCGATCACGTTGAAAAGAAGCAACTCCTGAAAGCTAGATGGATCAGCAAGATACCTGGAATGAAATAAGTCGGAACAAGGCAGTGCTTGAAGATCTGTCTGATGGCAGCCGATGGGTTTTGAGCAGAAGTTGCATTTGAGGTCCATTTCTTCGATGAGCTTGTCAAATTCAGCACTGAACAACGTCACTTGCTCTGCATCGTCTTTCAACGCGTAAATCCGCTTAAGTCTTCCATAACACTTGAGCATAATCAACTAAATCCAGCATGATTTTATTATTTTCCGCAGCAAAAGTGGCTTTCACCTTACATCCGAGTTTTTTCGCAATTAAAAGTGCTTCACAGTTGAAGGTGATAGCCTATGAAAAAGGCTGTACAATATATCTTAAGTTATACGGCATTTATTTAAGTAACATGTGCACATTTCTAAATAATGGCGAATTCTTTCTGTGCCAGTAGCAATTCGCTTTGCATGGGCAAATGGACTGTATGACTGATTGATGAAACCTAGCAAATAATTAAGAATTTTGAAATTATTCTTCCAATAACAACTGCAGGATGCGCGCTCTACTGATGTAGAAAAAAGTAACGTTTGTAACAATTGGAATGTTGGTCTTTTTTACGGCTTCATGACGTGAGCAGTTCTAGAGCCATTGTCTTCATAAAGTTAATGGTGCGGTGTATTCTCTATTTCCATGCCATCAGCCAGAAATGACTCATTCTTGGAAGCAGAATCGAAAGCAGATATGAGGCAAGCATAGTCTGCATCAAAAATAATAACGATGCCTGATTGAAACGGCGAAAATGCACAGTGTAAAGAAAGAAACCTACTTTTTACTTTACACCAACAGCACTCTTGCCTCAGCCTTTGCTTCTAGATGCCTAGGGAGCCATTTAAGCAGGTCAGGGTTCCATGGTATTAAGCTTCTATAGCGCGTAGGGCATCTCAAACTTGGGTTGAACAAGATTACCGCGAACTGTAGACGAATAAGTGACAAAATATAACCTGATGGCCTGGAGAGCTTTTGATGAAGCTTCATTTTTTCAATGTGATATATTCAACGGCGGCTTAAATACCATGGAACCGTGATCTGTCTAAATGGGCCTCGAGGTTTCTAGAAGCAGGAGGGAGTTGCAATAGTGCTAACAGTGTAAAGTGAGAAATACATGCTTCTTTCTTGACACTGCATTATCACTGTTTCAGTCCGGAATCATTATATTTTTAATGTGACTCATTCAGCGGAGGAATGGAAAGCTCCCCAGGACATTGGGATTGCACTTTTCCTCCTCAGGAAACAAACTCCTCATTATGGCTTTCATTTACCAGAGTTGCATCCATTTATCAACCTCAGAAGGAAGAACGGCGATTGATCCTGATCAGGGCTCAAACCATGATTTTTTGGTACTGAGGTCGATGTTCCACAAACCAAATAACACAGGTCTCAGGTAACGTGTGGCAAATTTCTTGCCCAAGAGAATTTATGGTAAAGACAAAATTTGTCCGCCTTGGGAAATGAACTCGGCTCGCCTGGAGTTTCAGTTCAAAGCTGATCTCTTACCTGCTGTGCCGCTACGCTATATTGAACGACGGTAATCTGTCTTTGGACACTTGACAGCTGAATAAAAGTCGACGCAAGATATAAACAAAAATTTAAGATTAAATAAATAATGCAATGCATTCGAAAAGCTGATGCTGATGATGGCGGTGTTCGCATTATCCACAAAGCCCTTCTTATGGGTGTGCTATGAAGCAAGTCAAAGCCATGCGACGTTCTCTATTTTCCGCTATCTGTCTCCACCACTGACCAAATAATTTGACCATCAGATCACCCCAGCGCATTATCGGACGACCGACTGGAGATTACTGGTTCAGCCTAACTCAGTTTGTAATTTCTGGCACCTACCTGTTGTCTCTTAGGAGAGGCAGTGACCGGCCCATCTTCAGTTGAGGTCGTTAGAGGCAGAAATTAAGTCTGCCAATTCAGCCCGTTGTCAACTTCGTGCGCTGGGAAAGTTATCGAAGAGAAACGCATTTCATATTTTTCGCTACAACACTGTTTGCTTGACCACCGGTTCTATAGCCGATTTAGATCATGGCAAGTGGTGCTTCAGAGTCAAGCAGTTTTACTACGCCAGTGCACAACTCGCTGTCAAGTGGCAAGTTTCAATGCGATGAAAGCTCACCTATGATGCCTTTTTTCTTTCGTGATTTCTCCCTCTAACCAGTTTACGCGGTCTACCTGATGGTCGAGGTATACGCAGCTAGCAACTTCTTGCAATTCTTCGCCATTAGTGTGGACACGGCTCTTGGGACAAAGGAGCCTCGTTTTGCATCCATTTCGTTTTTGCGAGGTTAACCTCTATGCTGACGATGAGCAACTTTTCTTGCAACTGCTTGATCCTCTGTGGAACTTCATCGTGTCTAGTGCGAAGGCGATACAGTCGTCCGCAAATCACATATGCATTTGCTGCGCATCGTCAATGGAAGCGATCATGAAACAGAATGGTTGCTGTAATGACAGTGTTGATTTGCTGCTTTATTTGTTTTCAGAATGTCAGGCAGTTCAACGGTTTGTGCGAATCAAGACACGCCTGTAGCCAAAAAGTACATGCATTAGACAGCGTACGATCATAAGTCTTGCAACCTCAAAGCGCAGAGCACATGCTGCCTCCAGTGTCCTCAGGCCAAATTCTTGTACTTCGTCTCTTGACTGATTACACAAACACAGTGTGGTAAACGCCTTGGTTAACGTTACACATAGCTAAACGCCGTGTCACGATCCCACCAGATGTATCTGTTGAGCAAAGCCGAATTACATACTGTAATTCAGAAGAACAGACGAAGAAATGAATCACGCTGATTCTTAGCAGTCAAGTGCTTTTGGATTTACAAAGGAAGTCATCCAGTCCTTTTGCTTCTACAGGTCTAGGAAATCATGTATAAATGCCAAGGCTCCATGATATTTTGACACCTGCAAAGCATTGATACAAACCTCCCACATGCGTCAGCCCGAAAAGTCAGTCAGTCAGTTTTGAGGATCGTTTATACTTCCGGGTGACAGAGTCAGAAACGCCAGACACTGTCTCAAACCGTCCAAACCCTGTGCCAGCGTTTGGGCTCCGGCAGAAGGAAAAATAACCCCAGTCTGGTGCACAGATTCTCGAGACACTTGCCGCGGTTATTCTTAGCCGTCCCTGGAGACTACTACCGGTTGGTTAAGCACGTAGTAACCGTTTCGTTTCATTTCCTAAAAACATTCGCAAGACTTGTCTAAACCATCGTAGCTGTGGCTTCTCAATGTGGACCATGGTTCTTACGGATATAAGAACACTGGACGAGGTGGAGATGCACAAGTACAGTCATTCGCACCAGGAAGTTAGCTTTAGCCCCTTGTATCCCACATCTAAGTTTTTCACTCATGAAAAGTAGATTGAGCATGGAGATGAAGATCGACTTGAACACTGACAGCTTAGCCGTCAGACTCCAGTCCGCCTTAGTTTGAACGTTTAGGATAGTTCGTGCCGAACACCTCTGGCTACTGCAATCCGTCGGTCGACCTGTTCCTCAAATTTACCGTTATCAGTAAACAGCCTGTCCGAGGTACTCGAACTTT